TGACGGTTTGTTCTTAGTTTCTTAGTCTTAGCTGTGCCTGGGAACTTCGCAGGCACAGCTTCGGGTTGCTTAGAGGTTGCTGCCAGCGTCATTGGTGGAAGGGTTGCGGGAAAGTGTTGGCCTTAGGCAGCGTTCAGACTTCGCGACGGCAGCGCTTCGGTCGCGCGTTCGACGCGATCGATGCGCATGCTTTCGACTGCATTGATCGCGTCGAACGCGCGACCGAAGCGCTGCCGTCGCGAAGTCTGAACGCTGCCTTACCCCACCCAGCCCTTTCATCAATGGCGTTGGCAGCAACAGCCATCGTGCTCACTGCTTCCAATGTAATGGAGGCGTTTAGGTCAACGGACGAAACAAAAACGATCCGGCAGACACCAGGCCAGCCATGGATGTGAAGATTGATGCAGACGATATGCTGAATGTTACTGTTACGAAAACCTTCATTTCGTTGTTGAATCATGTATCTCAGGTATTGTTGCGCTCTGTTCGTTTCTTCCTGTCTGTAAGGGTAAAGCGACTAAATAACGTCTAGGTGTTCGCCAGTGCTGCAAAGAAGAGCAGCCCACCACTTACTCGCCACCTTCCTGGCCTTTCTGCGTTCCTGGTGCTCAACGAGACTGGTATTATCATCAAAGTTGCTGGTTCTGATAGTATTCAGGTACAGAATCATTTTCAAATCCTGTCAAAAGTACAGTCCTTGTTGATTTTATGGGCGGAGTTAGGCTTCTCATTATGCCCTACTTTGCTGGCCGCTCCTTTCTAGCACGGTGAAGGGGAGGGTGCCGGTGAAGAGAACTACTGTTTTAGCAAGGCAAGGAACATCTCAGTTCAAAGGCAATAGAAGGCATGACCTCTCTTACGTGGTCTGCTTGAACTGTGCTTTCAAGCAGCCTAGACTGGCAGGTGTTGGGCGCGCAGAATTGCCCAAAAGTAGTGGGTAGGAGAGCTGGGGGTGGACGGCTACTACCAACAAACGCCCTCTTCCAGCCCTTGCACCAGTAACGTTGGCAGTAACTGCCCGCCCTCAGCCATCGTACCCACTGCCTTTAAAGTATAGCTATGATTGTAGTGAGGGTTACATACCTGGTCCAGAGTCTTTTGGGACGTAAGGCTGGATAGAAGAGGGGCGTGACAACCGGAGGAGCTTGGCATGAGGTCCATTGTGCCTGGGGGTACTGCGGGGTTCTTCATACAACAATCCTGAAGTAACAAAGGCTGAAGTCATAGTTTTTTAGGTGAGCGAGAGTGGCGAGGAGATTGAAGCGCCACATGGACGATTCGTCGATTTGAACCTGAGCAAGGAAATAGCAGCCAAGGCAGCGGAATCGGTTGGTTTTTTAGATATGTCGTTAGAGCCATGGCTTCAGATGAAGAAGTAAAGCAATTATACTGTTTTAGCAAGACAAGGAACGTCTCAGTTCAAACCAGACGGAATTGAGCGCATATTTACGGTGTGAATCTTCTTGATACAGTCAGACAACTGAAGATTGGACGTGCTGACAAAGTCGCGATACCGCTGCCGAAGAAAAGCGATGCTGGAAAGCAATGGAAGGTGAAACCTGCCTTCCTTTTTTGTTTTTCTTCTCTTTTCAACCGTATGATTTGCTTGGTTTTTGAGGTCGTTTTACCTTGAGACACAGTCCGCGCTGCGGGTGAAGCTACACTCACCACTCTCCTTCCTTGACACCCCTACTCTTTAACGCGGCAGAGTAACGGTGCTCCAGTGGGAAGACACAGTTGCAGGCCTTGCTCCGCCTACACGATCATCGTGGAATTTGGCTCCAAGTGTTAAGGCCATCACATGAGAGTGGAAGGCGGACGAGTTGCAGTTTTTACGAGTTTTCCTTTGCAGTTGTCCAGCAGTCCGTATCGGTCGTTGTCAGCCACAATTATTTGCCTTTCTTCATTGGCACATACTGGCCATTCCTGGAAGCGTGGCTTCTGCTATGGGCGTGATTTCTGGAATGAACTGGCTTGTGGAATGATAGGTCCTCTAAGCATTTGTCTGTAGCATTAAAGGCAGTGAGCACTTGCTGGAGGCGAGGGTTGCTGCTAACGTCATTGGTGGAAGGGCTACGAGAAGGTGTTTGGCGCCCAAACTCAGCCTCTTCACCAATAACGTTGGCGACAACCGCCCGCCCCAGCAATCGTGCCCACTGCCTTCAAGGTGCCGCGGAGCTGAAAAGTCCACTCAGGGTACAGCATTGTGAAACAGATAGGGAGTCGTACTTTCTCGCTGGGGAGGGAGGTCGTATTTGGTCGTTGGGAAAGGGGGGTCATATGTAGCTTCGAGAGAAATTTGTTGTGTTGAGGAAAAATTTTTCTCGGCTGTTGATTTTTCGTGATTTTTCCTGTTTCCTGTGTACTATATACCTATAGACCCCCCCACCGTTCGACAGCAAATTTTTGGGAAAATTAGAGAAGGAACTTCCGAAAAAAGTGGTAGGAAGTTGGGGATTGTTCAAGAAATTTTCCCGTTCTCACTTGGCTATACCTTTCCCCACCCGTTTCCCCATCGACGGAAAATCCTTGGGTGAAAAACTGGAAAATGTGCGAATTGGTAGGTAAGTGTTGGTGGGAGGGGGGTGTCGTACCGAGACCCACATTCAGAGGGGGGGGGGGGGAGGGAGCGGACAGGAGACCTTTAGTATAATTCTACCGGTAATTGTTCATGTGATCTTTTTCCATACGTGGCCCTTGCCTTTGGAGGGCACAATTCACGCTTGTCATGGGGGTGGAGACCAGATAGATACCTTTGCACTTCTTCCGTTGTGCGACTCTCTTTCTACAGCAAGAAGGAGAGGCGCGCCAATGGCCAAGGCACAGCCTGACCCGTCCATGTCTCCGCCCGTGCGATTAGCGTGGACTGTGACTTAATATACAAGTGGAAGTGGTGGGCTGGCTGTGCTATATATCTGCCTGTGAAATGAGCACATTTCAGATCATAGCGGACACAACAATTGAGAATGGTCGACGGCTCATTACACTCAAGTCTCATGTGAGTGTAACGAACCATCTGGACACTCCCATGGAATTGTACGCGAAGAATGGCTCTAACCTGGATCTTTTTGGAACTGTCGCTCCTGGCGAAACACTCCAATTGGCTGTCCCTCTCCTGTATTCCCCAACAGGAGAGATTTTCTTCAGGCCGGCCAACGATAAGTGAGGGCTCCAAATGTTGGATCTCATAGTGTATTTCTGAAAATTTCATGTTGGTTATATTCCGAGTTGAAGAAATTCCAGATGTGAAGTCAGCTTCGAATCCGTCACTTGGCATAATTTCGCGCACAATCAAAGGCAAGTGATCAGATGCGATTTGAGCGAAGATACCACTCAGGGGTACTTTTTCGAGACCGTTGTTCGTGAGGAACGAATTCGTGAAGGTAATGTCCATGTTTTTTTTTAATTTTTCCTGTTGTGAACATTTAAAGGCACATTCCGCAATTATGGGATGGGCGGGAGATTCGTAACCTCTATGCTATCCTCATTGCTGCGATCCTTTTAAGCATGGTGAAGGGCAAAGAGGGCGCTATTGAGTATAAGAAATGGCCACAAGTCTCCACCCATTTTCTCGCTCTCTATCGCGGAACGGTTCTCACTGAGCTGGTCATGGCTTCCGCGTTCACCGAACCTGGGCCCGCTAGCAGTTCTTCTTTCTCCTTTTCTTCTCTTCTCTTCTCTTCTCTTCTCTTCTCTTCTCTTCTCTTCTCTTCTCTTCTCTTCTCTTCTCTTCTCTTCTCTTCTCTTCTCTTCTCTTCTCTTCTCTTCTCTTCTCTTCTCTTCTCTTCTCTTCTTCTTCTCTTTCTCTTCTCTTCTCTTCTCTTCTCTTCTATTCTATTCTATTCTATTCTATTCTATTCTATTCTATTCTATTCTATTCTATTCTATT